ATTGCGTTAGTTTTATTAACTTCAGAAAGAGTTCAAATTAGTGCAATGATTGATATCCTTTCATTAGTTGCTAGACCATCTCATGGTTAATTATACCCCGTAACATTATTAGTGGTAGAGATTAAATTGTAGTATTAAAAGTGTATATATACATACATGAACAAAGTTATTTATACAATATGGCAATATAGAAATGCCTGTGTTTATAATTTATTGATAATTTCGGACTTTCTTGTACGGTATGAGATCTTTGATAATTCATTGGATATTTGAGGTCCTTGGTATAATGAGTCTTTCCATTTAGTGAATTAGTATAAGCTAATCGCTACATCGATATTTATACCCATAGGGAGGCTTAATAACATTGATTCAGTTATTTAGGAAACACTTGATAGCAACCATATACCGTATAGTAAATATAGACCTAATGGGTTGAAACCTACTGTAGGCAAATTAGTTTCTGATAAGCTAGTGCATACATAACCGATCGATGAGTATTTTCTTCTTATCATGTACTAATGAGGGTTGCATAAGGGATTATTTTACACGATCCTTTCTAATAAAAATCATTGTCTATAATTTAGGGCTATGAGGTAGGCTATGCTGTCTCACATAATAAAATCTTTACACAGCCATATTAAGAATTGCAGACAATTATGTATTAATATTAAATCTTACGTACTCATCTAACTTACTTTATAACTTGTAATTACTTATTCTTTACAACATCGTACATATCAATTAACTTTCTCTTTATACCTCAATGTAATATTTTTAAAATAGGTCATCCGCTATTTAATCTTGCCATGCATCTATTTCAAAAACATAACTTAATTGCTACGCTTGATTTGGACGTTCTTAAATTGATGCGATTATGTAGTAAGTATTATATGACACAATAATTAATCGCACGTTATCGAATCATTTATATTAGATGTTACATGGTATTATATATTCTACGTTCAATTGGCTACTTAAAATGTGATTTAAAATTTTTATCATTCTATACGAGAACTTTTTATTGGCGCAATTTCAATTAATCGTATTTATTCTCATCCTAGAACTTATCGAAGAATCATACCATCGAAGAAATCCATTTCACAATTCCACTCACGCTGCAGATGTCACTCAAGCAGTACATTGCTATCTATTGGAGGCCAAGGTGAAATCTTACCCTATAGACTTGCATTTCTTACGGTGTAATGTTGCGCTTTTAAATGCGATAAATTTTTGATATTGAAAATTCGTATTGTCATTAGCCTCTCATATAATTCAGGGATAAGGGAGTTTTTTCTAGATTGAGGACGTTGTCAATTTCCATGATAAAGGATTACATTTAATTTTATTAATAGATTGCCGATTCCTTAAGCGAAATCGAAATATTCTATTCATTACTAGCTGCACTTTTGCATGATATTGACCATCCAGGTGACATATCTATCAATGAATATATTCTGCTATTATTCAAATATGCCATTACACTTAAAGATAACTTTATAATGTCTGCTTTAATGCTGGTCACATTAGGAGTTAATCAAAATTTCTTAATCGCAACTTCACATTTTCTACCCAAAATATTCGGGGTAAGTCCCCCTTTATTGGATTAGTTTTATTAATATTTTTTCTCAGTTTGTATGTATATATGAATTAATCCATAGGTTATATCTGTCCTGGAAAATCATCATTGTCGTGCTGCTATCGCTCTACTGAGAGACTCTGGTGTTATCGAACACTTACCAAGTAGCCAGCGGTAAATTTATTGATTTTAGTGATAAATTAGTTAGCTACGTAGTGCATGAGATATATTTTTGTTATCGATAATAAAAATTTTTTATTATATGGTGCACTGGTACTATATTTTGGTAGGCGATTTATTGAAGATCAAATTGTTGCGTTGATTTTATCAACTGATATGGCTAAACAGCAAGAATATCTATCCAAATTTAAGGTACCTGACATGCTTAAAAGCATACAATACAAGCTGTTACTAATCTAAATACATATGTCAAGTTGAGAAAAATGACTATGATAACCTGATTTTTCAGTCAGTTGTATTTATTTATTTTACTTGAAGTCATTATAATGCCACACGCTTGTTTCAATTTCAGTTACTTGTAGATAACGACACCTTCAATATCAATAACCATGATCATAAGACCTTAATGCTACAGATTGCATTAAAGTGTGCAGACATAAGTAATCCTTGTAGATCATGGCATCTATGTTCGCGATGGAGTAAAAGAGTTACATCAGAATTTTTCGATCAAGGTGGGGGGTATCCTCTTATATGAAATGCCATGTTTTCGTTTTGTTGCAAATTATTTAAATAAATATTCTGTTACGCGTTTACAGGTAACAAGGAAAAGGAACTTGGTATTGAAATTTCTCCACTTTTTGACGACACTAAGCATACAACTGCTGATATTCAAGTTGGTTAGTACAGTATACCTGATTGTCGAGATACAGCTTATAAATAAGTTAAATATTGAAAGATATGTATGAAATCTATACTGGGTCAAATCTTTAAATTTATAGATGCTGTATCCGTAAATTTTTTCTATTGATACTTGTTATTTTTGAAAGGATTTTACCAATATGTGGCAAGGCCGTTATTTAGCTGTTGGTCAGACTTTTTACATACACCTCTATGTGATATGATGCTGGAAAATATGAACGATAACTTAGTGAAATGGGACAAAGTTGTCAAAAGTGAAAAAAATTAGAATAGTTCTTTCCTATGGATGGAGAATAGTACCCGATGTAACAATATTTGCTCCGTCAATCAATCTGTCAATGTTTTTAGATACTAATACCACCAGACACAATTTCACTCCAAGTGTGCATTATAAATTTTTCCGTACTAGATAGACAGAGTCCACATTATAGTATTAATTAACATTATTAAATTAATTTACAATTTTTATAGATTGTTTGTCTGTTCGATGTTTTATTTTTTTCGTTCAATTTTTACCATTTCTTATCTTTGTTTGATAATTCACTCCTTATCTAATGAGTTAATCAAAACTATCGATCAAGTCAGAACTTTTTAGGAATAAGGCTGACATGTAACGTTTTACCAATTAAGTTAAATTCGATAAGCTTTATCTTCACTCAAAGTTCTATTTTATTACAGTGTTCTTTATTGGTGTTACTGTTGATATATACAGTACTATAAATATGTCAATGTCATTTTGTTTAGTACTACAAAACGAACCGAAATACCTTTGCAACAATTTTTAACATACCACTATTGATTTTTGTTATATAAGATTTCTTTCGACACCCCTTCTCAACGATAGATAGATATGAAATCAAAATTATAGTTGTGCTTTTATTATTACTGTTCATAAAAATGCCGTTTTACCTTTTATACTGTCTGTATTAAATTTTTAAAACAGATACATTTTAGGTTGTTATTATAAACTGATAAATATTGATGCAACTAAACAGTTTATTTAGATTGCTGTCACTTTTTTGTAGACAGAACCTAATTTTATTATACCGATCCGGTTGATAAATTTTTGCTTTATACTGATTTTCGTTTTATAATAATAATAATAATTATTATCTGATTACTAAATAATATATGTAAACTTAAAAATTTGAATATGCACCTGGTAGCGTTAGCCTCTGTTAGGTTTCTGACGCGATCTACTGTATTTTGTTTTCGACTGTAGTATTTTATCTGACTAAAATGTACCTTGAGCAACGCGTTATTATTTTCGATTATCTTGTATGTTGACAATTATGCAATGATTTACTTCGATTTAAAAAATTTTGGTGCTTTTCGAGAATTTCGAAGAAAGTTTCCATTATGTCAGATAATTGATAAAACTAAACCACTGACTTGGTATCGTTTTTTAGTTAATAAGTTATTGTAATTTAGAAAATACCTACTATATATATATATATATATATATATATAAATCGAAATAAAACCGCACCGCTTCCTACGTTACTTGTTCATTAATTTATCTTTCTAAAAATCGAATTGAATCATTTGCACTTTGGTGCCCAACCTGATATAGTTAAATTTAGAAAGTTATTGTATGAATGTGAACATTACGGTATGGATTATTCTTATCTATTAATGTACTGACTGTTTAATATGAAAATGCATGTGCAAGGCAGAGTCGGACTAGATACATTTCTTCTATAGCTCATACCATATTAAGCAGTCTATAAAATTAAAAAATTTAATCTAACGTATTAAAACTGCGATAAATGATTATTTACGTATAACACAGAGTATTAAAAAAGAGAGGAAGACTCCTTTAGCGTGTCACTGATAAGTTCTCATAGGATAATAGGTGGATGAGGTATGGATATACTCGTATATGAGGGGCAATAAATGGTGCAAATACCTACACAAGGACTCGTGAGATTAATTAGTGTAATAACTGATCGGATACAAATAAAATAAAATAAAATAAATAATTTAATAAAGTAAATCGAGCATATATATACAGTAATAACTATTCTTTTTGTACCAACGTTGAATTATTCAAATTGGTCATTTGAAGTAAAATGCATGATTCTGTCATCTTAGCATGTACAAATTTACATTTATTAAAAATTTTGATGCAGTATTTTAATATCGCAATAACTATATATCATTGTGTTGCTACAACAGGCGTACTTGTTTAAATTAATTTCTTTGTACAAAATGCTCAATGAGCTGTAGTATCTTAGGAACACCGCAACCAAGCTATCGTTTTTATCAACCCTCAAGTTAGCAAGTGCTCGATTGGTAGTGATATGTTGCATTTAAAGACGGAATTCGGAATAATTATATTAACATAAACATACTCGGCATTTAGCACTAATTATCGTATTGTAGAATTTAAATTTGAAATAGAAAACTGAATAGTCAACCAATCACTTAACCTGCAACCAAAGCATCCGTTCTACGTACATATATACCGAAATCATTCATTGCTATTTGTTACATTATTATTTAGCTCTAAGTTCTACACTGCATCAACAGATTTTTATGACTTTTCCTTTGTTGTTGCTATCATAAATTTCATCAAGGTAACCCAATTTTTAAGATTAACAATTAGTAAATATCTACGTTTGTCCAGTCTTGTGTTACATGGCTCAGGCTACACATTTCTAACAGCCAATGGTGAGGACGGATTATTAAATGACAAGTTACTGCGATTTTTAGAATCTCTTGGGCTTGCACCGGTCTAAGATAGTGTTAATCGATAAACGTGTATTTGTATTAATACAATTTTTTCGGTTGCAAGTTAATCTAATTATAGTTATACCTTTGACCAATATTCAGAAGCTTTAGGGCTACTTTGAAAAGATGAGGAAGATCGATTCTCTTTATCTGTATTTTAGTTGAAAAAAATGGTTTCGTTTGTTAACAATAAACTATGGTGAAGAATTAATTATACGAGTCATTAATGAGTAATTAACGACAGTACGCGTGATAATTGTAATGTAAGAGAAAAAAATTCAATTTTTCCCATTCAAATATCCAATAACTGTAACACATTGTCGAGTAAACGCTTCGCAATCTAACTTAAAAATATGCCTTATTTAATTAAGTTAGTGTTGCATTTACAGTTAATTGCAAATTGTTTATCATACCAGGAGATTCTTGCCATGATGTCTGCATTTGCTTTGCAAATTTTTTTTTTAATGCTTCAGCAATAATGGAAGCAGGGTCTTGAGGGTTGGTCTTAGGCTTCCTTCTGTGTAGCGGAGTACCTCCAGGAGACCTAAAAGTATTACAAGTATAGTATTTGTACGGAATAAAAATGTATGCGTTAATTATGAAATGAAAAATGCAATGCTTATCATCTAGTAAATCATGCAATATAGTAACTTCATGGTTGTACTTAAAAAATGAGCACTGATATGGTAAGGGATATATTTATATTTACCTTGGTGTTTGTCGAAGTTTGACTTTACCTATATCCTTTACGATATCTCTAATCGTTGGCATCTTATTTTCATTATTATTATTAGAGGTATTTCCAGTAGTATTCTATAATATAACGTCACTTATTGACATGTGTACATGTATACGGCTATGGGCTAAATTTATCATGCAAGACCCTTCTTGCTAATTATATTTTATTTTATGCCAATTATACATATAGTAAACATAGAATCTAAAAAAATTATTATAATTTACTGCAATTTTTACTTTTCATCAAGCTTATTACCTTCGTTTTAGACTTTATTGATGGCATTAATTTTACATTGGCCATCGGCGGTGGTGGCGGTGGAGGGGGTGGTGGTGGTGGCGGCGCGGGAGCGGTGAATGGAACTGTAGCATGAGGTATAGCTAATGATACATTAAGAAAACTGATATTAATCACATTATTCGTTACAAACTCTTCTTAATGACAGACTAATAAACTGTAGTTTATATTAAAACATCGAAAAATATTAACTAGAAATTGATGTATTTATGCATTATTTGACAGATAAATAATACTTTACATTTTGCAATGTTGTCATTAGTAGCGATAGGATCATTCTTAACTACCAAAACTGAAATTTGCTCCCTGAGTCGAGCTAGTTCATCTTCCAGTGCAGTAATTTTCCGAAGATTTTGCGTATTAGGTGACGAGGATTTCTTAAGAATTGCTTGGCTTGGTGATTGTATTATGCATTTAATATTGCTTTCGCAACCTACTTAAATTTTTGGGTAAGTAAACATAAATCATTAACAATGATGACGTGACTTTAAATAAGATTAAGGTCTAATGACTCCTTGTCTGTTCGTGTTCCGTAATATATTAAATTGCTAAATCTTTATTGGATTTGTAACAGATCTTAGATTACCTAAGTCCTTCTCGTCTAATCCAGTACCAAATAATGCCAACGGTAGTGTTGATGATCTCCACATTATGCCAACATCTTCATCGACTTCTTCAAATAACCAACCAACATCTTCTAAAGTAGCAGTAGGATTCATTAATTTCTCTTCATCATTGGTGAACATTTGATGGGCGAGAGAAGAGAAGCCATCGATAGTAGAAGTACCATCTGGGCATAGCTATAAAGTAATAGAGTGGTAAAATAGTAATCAATTATATTATTTTATTTTACCTTCTATTGATTTTGATGAGTAATCCTTTTTGAAAGAAATTTATCATCACTAGTTAACAGGTATAGGATCCGAATGTCTCATCAATATTCGTATTAAAAAACAACAAAAACTTGGGATATTTTAATTTTTTATAGACGTATTCAAATGACAGACTTGACACTCGCTCTTTCATATCATATTACATTGACAAATGGTAAGATGGATATTGTCAATAAATGCTGCATGTAGTATCTTTTGTATCGTACGAGTGAGTATACTGTATACTGTATAGGATAGGGGAGTACTGTGTGATATATTGGCGTCAAGACTCATTCATGACTAATAATTAATATATAAAACAGACATAACTTACCTGAAAATGAGTTCTATCTGGAGGCTTTAAAGGTAATCGGCTACCAATTTGGCGAACGATGCTTTTATTACATTGGGACGAGTATCTCTTGTTCGATTCCCATAGAGGCCTTGGCTAAAATGATAAGCAGAGATAACAGAAAAAAATTTTCAAGATGTTTTATGGAATAGAACGATCAATCACCATTGAGTATACTGTAGCTGTAACTATATTTTAAACAAAATATATTATTGCAAGGTTATCCAATATGGTATTAACGAGAATATAGAAGTAATTCGAGTAGGCGTATAGCATGTTAGTATCAAGGAGATGCTAATACTGTACTGTAGAAATGAGTGGAGTACTATCTTGTATTTATCCGTCAATATATACTCATAACTGAACTTCAAGAAGAAACACCATTGCACGTTATCTTATGAGATGTCGATGCAACTAATAGATCAACTCAATGATGGTCACATAATGAACAGAGCCTATAGTTATTATTATTACTTGCTATATTAATCATGGCTTATCTCAGTAGACGTGAATTTGAAACTTGACTGAAATAGGAATCATTGATAATAGTGGATACATCTATGTCACATCCAGTATATATATATATATATATATATATATGTATAAAGCCATCAGTAATCGGTCAAGGAAACAGTTTAATGCAATTCTACAGTACAAGAAGGCTGTGATAATATCCTCCATGGTCGTCATATAGTACAAGCACTATTACTACAGTAAAATGAATCCTCATTGGCCACAGTTAGGTTCAATTTAAAATTGTATTGAAATTTGAAATGTGCGTACAGCCATTGGTAAGCCATCATGAATTAATTAGTCAAAGAAGTGAAATAAGTTCCTTGTACAATTCAAGACAGCTATGATAACGTACTAAATAAGTACTATACAGTTGGAAAGACGTTGAAAGCTATCTTCATTTACCTCAGTAGGGTTCACTTCAAAATTCCAATGCAATCCGAATAATTCGTAAGCCATTTTGATGTAAGCATGAATTCTGACCCAATCAAATTGACAAATAAAATGGAGAATAGTAATTTATTGGCTACTACACACTAGAAGATTGTAGTGGTGTTCGTATTGCATGGACTAAAAATCTTACTAATCGTCTTATCGAGCTCTTTTTATCAACAGAAGGAAGAAATGGGGCGAAAAATGATGGCCAAGACGAGAAATTTTCCAATTGCGAGCTGGCAACAGTTTGAATCTTGCACAATTCAAAATATCCGCGAGTGTACAATGTACAGTACTCGGCATTACAGTACAGTCTTGGGGTACTCATGTGCAAAACAAGTTGTCATGGATTGGCTAGTACGCGCTGTAGTGTAATGAGTACTGTAGTGTCGTTGTAGTCAAGATGACGATCAAGGGTGACAACTTACTTTGCACAGAATACGCCGGTTGTGGACGATGTACAGTACCTGGCATTACAGTACAGTATTACGGTACTCGTGTGCAAAATAAGTTGTCATGGATTGGCTAGTACGCGCTGTAGTGTAATGAGTACTGTAGTCTCACTGTAGTCAAGATAACGATCAAGGGTGGCCAGTCATTTTGCACAGAATACGCAAGTTCTGGACTACTCCATCTTGCCGTTATACAGTACTGTACTGTACAGTACAGTACAGTAGAGTACAGTACAATGCAAACCTTTACCGTACTGTACTGTACTGTGCTGTACTGTACACTGTAAAGGACTATCTGCAGCGGATCCGCTGATTGGCTGTTTTTGCTATTGTATCAAAGCGACCGTTAATTTAGAGCCAATCAGACAAGCTAGATGGCTTTCAAATTTTCGACTCTGGACAGTCGACACAATACACGACTTGAGCTCGCGCACACTTTGATCCTCAGTCAACTCATACTGTACCATAGAAGAGAGAGGAGATGTGAGGCTACAGTGTACAATCCCATACTGTACTGTACTGTACTGTAGACAGTGGTACAAAGTTCATCCCTTACAGTACTATCCACTGTAGACAGCAGGACGTGCCAAAATTTGAAATTTCCATCGCCGTTTACGTTGGACTCCTGCCACCAATACACCAATTGCCTCAAGTTCTTCTCATGTGCATTTCAACTTTTCCTCTCGATCATTTCTTTTCTTTAATGTAGAAAGGGACAAGTAGGGAAACATCATCTATTTTATTCACCTTGTAATATCAAGACTTATTTTATCGTGTATTGGACTGGATCCGCTGCATTTTCTACTGGATAGTTCAAAAATTGGAAATTAACAAAGTGGGAGTAACATGTCTGCATATACTGTGGCTAAAAATTTACGAGATTTAGCAATACAACCGCAAAATCGTGTTGCAATTGTAAAGGTAAAACTCACCATTGACAATGTATCCATTGAACCAATATTGAAAAATAATGCTAGAAATAGTTTCTGTAAAAGTTTATTCAATCCGTTCAATACAATGTTATGGTACAAAGGATGTCCATGAGTTTCGTCATGATTCAAATCGTTCTGAAAATGATATACTCTACAGGAAACTGTATATTCTGTCCTCCAGCACCGCAGAGACTTTACTCGATATTTTATAAATTGCTTGTAGTAGGATACTGCTAAGATTCATCAGCCTTGTGGACATGTACAACAAAGTAAAAATTGTATTAGTTTTCCTTCTAAAGTAAATCAGCGATATTTGATTCAGAGGATAGTCAACACTCTACACTGCATATACTGCATATACCATACTGTACAAGTAGACATATAGATATCATATACTTACACAGTAGAATACCCATATATCATGAAGTATTTTCCATTAGGTCAGAATTATGCGAGTATTATAGGTGTCAAGATTTGAGTCTGTAACTCTTCTTACAGTATTTACTAGCGAAAATCACCAATGTACATATAGTTAGTAGACTATCATGGATTACTAAATATGTCATTGAATAATAATAATAATAATAATAATTACATTTATCCATCATAGTCCTGCGTGCAACTTCATCAATCCCGAATGTAATCAATTCCTACTGTATGGTAACAACCAGATAGTACTCATTGCATGCTCCCATACTGCATATTAACTCGTTTCAATTTTATCACCCTCTATTGAGCAATACGTAAAGTTATTGACTATAACCCCAGTTATTACTCTTTCAAATTGCCCATGTTGAATGCTGTTATGATGGGAGGCCACGCGGATGTCGCGTAGCTGCTATCAAAAATACAAATACTATCTTACAGTTCTTATCCTCGACATTCCTGTGCGATTTCAAGTGATTGAAATGACTTACTCGTTACATCAACAATGCTAATTTAAATTTTTCTTTCAATTATAAAATGACTTAACTGATGCAACTTGAACTATTTTTATTATTTACGTGCATTTAGGATCAGGGATGCCTTCCAGGATTGGTTTTATTTCTAGATAACGATGATCCTCGTGTAGTAGTATTGGCGTTAGAGGTGGGTATTGTAACGTACATGTATGATGGTAAAAAACTTCAAATTTTGCTTTCAGTAGGTCAGTTTATTAAAGAGTTTCAATTCATCTGTTTATCTTGTGATGATAACTCTTTTACAAAATACGATACGTCTACGTTATTACACAATATCTCCTCAGTAATTTGGTGTACTAAACTATACTCTTAAATGGTTAAATTGCAACAATCTACGTATAGCCATAGACGTCTAGTATTATTATCCACTAAGGATGCTTTATTTAAAATTGAAGGCACTACGTTATCTATCACTATGTCCATCTAACCGTACTCCTATGAGAAGTGAAATTGGTATGTTGGTTAGCTTGAAAGCTATTATGAATAGGTAAGAATTTGCTGTCAAGTATTGCTACCTCCTGCAACCCTTATCTATATAGCCGTACTATTTGTAATATGAGATATTATTCAAGGATATGTTAGAATCCAACTGTAATTTTTTAACTTTTCAATTCCCAGTGGTAGCAAGTATCCAATAAAGTAACCTTTTCAATTTAAAATATTTCATGAACTTGAAATATTTTGAGTACACTTAATATCTGCCTAACATTCAATTGCAGTTGTTGTGTGAATTAAAATTAAAATTATAATATACTGCCGAACGATAACCAATACCAAACAAACATTCCTTAAAGTAGGATAAAATAGTAGTAAGATGCCCTATATTGGCATAATTTAAACAGATAAATTCTTTCTGCTATTGCGATTTAACTGATTATAATATTACAAAACTGAAATAGCATATCAAGTATTTTCTTCTCGATCTTTTAATCAAAACAAACATTGTACATAGTAAATTAGAGGCAATTATAATATAAATCCATCAGATAAGATGTACTTTAGTCATTGATATATTCTGACAAGCTAATATGGTTTACTTTGAATAAAATTGTTTATAATATGCTTCTTAATTTGTGATTAATATCAAATCTATAGCAAAGATCAGAAAGCTTGCCAGCTTGCTAGCGAAATTCATACTACATTAGTCCCAACCACTAGGTATGGTCAATATTACATCATGTTATCGAAATTTTACTGCTATGTTTAATATGACTAGTGTAGAAATGATTACTTTAACAATTACTTGTCTACGAGATATATTACACTATAATCATATTTTAAAATAATATAAATAAAAATGGAATATAAGTGATGCTCTAACTGTTCTTTATACAAATATTGATACTTTATTTTAGGAATACTCGCAGTCGTAGGGCCGGTGCCACTTCTGGACAGTATTTTCTAAGCAATGCAAATAAAAATGCACGAACAATAATATTGCAAATTTCTGGCTTAACTGATAGTGCTAGCAGATTTAAATGTGAACAGAGATTGCTTGCTACTCCTGGAGTAGTAAGTTTTACTTTTGATTTAGTCAAAAAACGCTGCATCTTACGAGCTCGTCCAAACCTTAAAATAGAGGTAAGCTAAGTTATCGTAACTATAACACTATTAAATTGCAAAAGTCAGCCAGTTTAATAGTCTGTAATTGTAGTCTTAGCAAATTTTCATAAATTGCTTTTTATTTTTTACAGTTGCTAGTACATCGTTAGGTAAAACTTTATCAACTGACATTATTTTTAATTGATAAATATTCTTCAAATACTGTCAATATAGATTTTTATAGTATACTGTTAGAGTCATTAACGATATTCTAAAGTTCCCACTATAGGTTCTAGCAATTATAAGCATACTATTTCTTATTTATAATTTAAGACAATATGCCAAGCTGTTGCTGAAACTAAGACCATGACGGCGCAACAAATTGTCAAAAATGACATGGGAGAAGAGGTAAAAGATTGTTGGTGTTATATATTAGTATTAGCGTCTACCTTTGATGCAATTACCCTTTTTTTATTGTATACTAGACAGATGTACGCGTATTGCATTAGTAGCATGCAATAGCTATTACTAGTTTTTGCGTAAATTTTAAGATTCACCGTCACCGTCAGTACTTTAATAGATGATTAAATTGCCTTTTTGCGATTAGATATTTTTAACCTTTGGAAGCAGCCCTGTTTCCTCATCAGAAGATAAGGAGGCAAGTAGTTATAATGACAAGTCTTTAAGACTAGATTAAGAGCATAATTTGTTAGTATAGTCCTTTACTTCTTGTAAGGCTAGCCGTATTTGCATTTAAACATTATGAGTCTTCTTAGCTTCTTGAATTTACTGTTAAATATAATTATCTTTATTTATTTAATGACAGTAGTCATGACGGCACTCTAAGATTTCTGTTTTAATCGTATAGAATGCTATGCCAGATTATTTACCAGAAGATGATGATAGTACAACAATACAAAAGGTAAATAAACGTTATACGTATTATAATTAGAGAAGAGTTACGTTAGTGTAAATGAATATATCTATCGATAAATTTTTTATAACATGTAAGTAGTATTTAGTCAAATTATCAAATAAGTGTACCATTGTAGCTTAATAATAATGATCTATATTTTTGAAGTATAAATATAAACTTGTTGCTTAATATTTACAGGGAGCCGTCGCACGAATTGATGATAACAACGGAAATGGCAATGGTTGGATTAGTAGTGTTACTAGTTTTATCAGTAAATCGTTTTATTGGTAAAAGAATAAAATATTTCAGTGCAATTAGATATGGTAAAATATCGAAGTTAGGATAAGAAAATACTGCAAAAATAATGACAAAAAAGGCTGTAGATAAGAGATTATTATCCGTAATCACATGCAGAAAATTTAATATTTTCCATACGCAAACATCATAAAATAGCCCATTTCTACGGTTGCATCTATCGTAGTATTTTGCCATCGTGTTGTGGTATTAAGGTGATTATAATGTTAATTATTTACCTTCAAAGACTTCAACAGCTTTAATATCAACATATTATTTGTGTCATTTCAGAATTTGATACTTAAAATGTTTTTAATATTAATAAGCAAAAATCAATATAAACATTTTAACTACAAATTTTGAAAATAATTTGTTTATATAGCTAAATTTCTGATATGTTTCTAATTGGTTTGTGAATTAACGACATTAATTTCTAATAACTGCTGTACCGTGAACTTTAATTAATGAAAGCACTGTAGAAAGTCATCCAGTGATAGAGTTAATGCTGGAACTATGTTTTCTATCAGTACAGTTAGTACAAGATTTATATAAGTTAATCTTCTGATCGATCGACTTGCTGTTGCTACTTAATCTGCTTGAAAAGTGTAGCTTATTGTACTACTGCGTAGAATATATATACACTGTCATCGCAACTTAATACAAAATACTCATATAACATAGCTTTTCTGAAATTTTTAACGTTTTAAGCAAACTGTAAATAAAGAACGTTTAAAGTAAATTTTCTCTATTCCAATTTAAACTAATATAAGCGTCTGAAATTATAAAATGTAGTCATCTGCTGTAGTTTGTATTAAAATTTAATCGATTTGATAGAATAAAGACTACGCAGAACTGCTGTATCTGATGATTGATATATACCGAATAGCGATTTATTGCACTTACGCTTGCGCGACACGTAAATTCGTTATGCAATCAATCACATTAAGTGCTATAAGTTACGAAATAATCTTCAATTTTTTGACTACATATTTCCGAGCAATAAAATATGCGATTTTAATTCCAAATATAATCATAAGCAAAAATGTTATATAAGTCGTGATTACTATTACCAAAATCTATGTCGTATATCGATTATTCTTGCTGAAAATTTGAACGTAAGAACTATTTGAATAAGTTTCGCTACTTCAGCGCGTACGATACACAACTACAATACGGATAATACCACACAAGACAATAGTGTAAAATTTTAAAATTTTTAATCCAATTTTGCTTCTATGTCAATTGAAACTGTACTTTAATTCTATGTTAACATAATTGTCCTATACTTGCCCTACTGTATTGGATAAGCAAGCTTCGTCGGTTCTATAGTATCGAGGTTATAAAACGTAGTAAATCTATATTCTCTAAGCAAATTTAATAAACGAGTATTCAGATTCCAGTAATTTCATTAGAGAATATAGAATAAGTATACCATATCAAATGATAACTCTCAGAGCGTGGCTATTACAGCATTGATCAAACCTGTCATCTGACAATGCCCACTTTAAGCAATTTTAAAAAGCCAGGGTTACATTTATACCCAAATAATGGTGATAATAACTAGCGGTATCTCGTAAGAATCTACCTTATCTAGTTTGATATCTATAATATTACACCAAATTCTAATTCATAATTCAGTTTATCAATTATTTCAGAAATCAATTAATGATCAATTAATGAGTACATACATATATATTAATTGATGAAAGACATTTAGGCATTTCATGATTAATTTCATTTGACGGCATTTCCATTTAAGCCAATAAAAGTAAAGTTATTGTAGTGTATTTGATGGTAAAAGTATGATATTTGATCACAGCTGTAAATAGGGTCAATAAGTACACTTTAACTAAATACGTTTAGCATAGAGTGTAAAGATAAATTCTCTTCTATCGAAAAAATATAATATTAATACAGAACTATATCCGGCTTATAAAGCAGCAATGCGAGTTAAAATATACTTTCATCAATCATCATTGCTTATATAGCTACATTTAGCTATAGAATTATGCCTATTCTGATTTTTTTGAAACTACTTTCGTATCAGTTTTTAATTTCATACCAGCACTACTAACGTCGGTATCCGAATTTAGCATTGCATCCCAATCATCATTCCAGCCACTATTATCATCCTTCTTATCTTTAGCGTCAGTTTGCTTAGCTGTAGATCTAGATCCTATCACAAACTCATTCCACTCACTATCTGCTTGTACCTTTTTCGTCGATGTATGAGTAGCTTTTGTATCAGGTTGATCTGAAGTTTGTACGTCGAATTTTGATGAATACTGCTTATTTTCAGAATTAGGCTGTCCCCAGCCGTCATATTTACCCCAAGAGTTCCATTCATCGCCTCCATCATCTTCAATACTAAAATTTTTCGTTTCCTCTGTCAAGACATCATCATCATATGGATCATGATCGTTGTCCATTCCCTCAGTATTTACTTCTTCCCTTTGTTTCCCCTTCATTAAAGTTTGTATTTCAGTCATTCCACTTTCGCCAGCAGTTTTTATTTTTGTTGCAAATGTAGTCATAGATGTTGACATATTGTCGAGTATTTTAGAATCATTAATCTTTTGCTTGGTTGGTTTGACTACAGTTTGATCGAAAGTTGTCCCAAATTCCTTAGCTTTCTCACCAACAGGTTTGAAAACGCTATCATTGATAGATGAGCCAAACTTTACAGCTTGATCTTGTACAACACCACCAAATTTAGAAGCTCCTGCAGTAAATGAGGTCCAGCCCGATGAAAAACTTGACCAAGCGTTATCTATAAATTCGTTTTTATTAGCGTTGTTGGGAACCTCCTTTTTAGATCCAAATCCGACGTAACGTCCTCCTTGGCTAGGTGGTAGATCATTTGATTTTTGAGAGTTTTCTTCCTGCTTTCTGCGAAAGAAATCGTCACGTTTATTAGCAATTTCTTCATTCGAGATACCTAGCCTAGGATCAACAGATGCTGTCTCTTTCGGTGGTTCATAATTAAACGCAGGTGAAGCTTCCATTGACCAAGTACGACCATCTGCTAAAGTAGCGATCTTATCACGATATAGTGCAGCTGTCCTAGATTGGTACTTTTCTTTTATATTGATTCCATCATAAATATCGCCCTGAGATTTAAAAAATTCCTTGGCTTGTCGGTTTCCGCCAGTCTTTTATATATTTGAATATATGATAATTTTACGAAATTAACCGAAAAAAATCTCAATTAATAGATAAGTTAAAATGTTTAACTGCGAAATTGTATTTATAAGTAAATATCATTGAGCTACTATTTGTCGTAGCTCTTTACAGATATACCATTTCTTACAATGAACTGCGGTAATACGGTCTAATATCAGCTGTGACGGTTGCTATATATACATGGAATGGGAGTAGACTATTGGCACTCTTATGTATTAATAATTACGACGATGTTAAAGTGCTTTCGAAACGATCATTAAAAAGATTTATTTATTTAGAACGATATCTTAATAATTCTTATAGCTTTTTAGAATATCAATTACTAAAATTAATAAAACGATACAAAATCTAAATACTATTTATGGTTGCAGCCAAAAACGACGTGTTTGTTTAGTAAAGCAGTATCGAGTATCCAATATTATTATGAGTGACAAAATATTGTATTAATCACAATTACTACTTTAGTATTAATGAATTAGTCTATTATTTATCAAAACATGGTGAGCTTTACCCTCATCTTTGCTAATTCTTTATCCTTCCACTTGTCCATGGAAGTTGATCTTACAAAACTAAAATGTGTAGAAGAGACAAACAATTTCAATAAATGATCCTTTTGCAGATCGTTGTTGACACTAATAGGTATAACGCTCACTAATTTTTTATGGCAAAAATTTCTAGTTGATTTACGAATAAGTTAGTTGTACATGAATTCAAGATTCGCATTATAGGATAAGATATTCTCTTTAACTATGATATTGCGAAGTAAGAAAGTAATAAAATGCAACAGCTTGAATTAGAGTGTACACATTGCTTGGAAATATCGGTACGCATAATATTTATGCTTTTCATCTATTTTCTGTGATGATAATATTATAAATAGTCACTGAACTATATCTATTCGATATGCATACGTAATTAAGTATTTGTTAAATTTCTTAGCAATTAGCTAATCATGCTCAATTCTAAATATAGCTATTGAGAGTAATGACAATATTGTTCCATTGAGCTCGAGAAGTTTGATATTTGGTGCAATAAATTATCAAGACAGATATAATTATCGTTTCCTAAGAAATGAATATTATATAATGTAAACAGTACTTTAATGGATGCAATAAATTTAATTTTAAAACTTTAAGATGGTAGCAAAATTGTAAGTATACTGGCTAAATAGAATTTCGTTTCTAAAATTTTTACGTAGCAAAGAGTTGTAGCTGTCGTAGAAAGTCAATAATTATCAATTGTAAAGATAACTTGAGATCGAACCTGATATGAACACCAAGACCTCGATGTTTACCAGAGCATTCTAAACAGATCCATGTGCCATAACTAACGGAGGCCCATTGAGGACTGTGAGCACCGCATTCGAAACATAGCTATGCAAAAAGAAAGAAAACACATTATTTACGTTATTCATTGGATGTTAATATCAATTGCTAAGATGCAATGGTCAATCACGGGACAAATCGATTACATCATCGCTGCTTCATCACATCCAAGTAATGAAAAGAAAAATTTACAAATTTCTGTATGACTGAACGATAAAGTGAATAATACAGGTAGAGCTATCGTTATCACCATAAAGTTAGTTGAGCTATATGTGTGGAAGAAGAAATGGCTACGTTTCAAATAAATTATTACTACAACCGATGATCAGGTAGCTGATATAACATACGAAAGCGAATACCAATGTACCTTACTTATATGCGTATACTCGTAGTATAAAATTATCTAATCTGGCTACACTGCGTACGTATTACTATATATATTGTATATCCGGCATTTTCATTTGTAATATTGAAGCAGATCTTGAGAAGATTTACGAGCCACTTTGTAATTAATGTTCATATATAATATTTACATTACTACCTTGTTACCTCAAATACATGTCTATTAATGAATAAGGTATCGCGGGAATTAAATTATGCAAATGTACACAGACCAATAGCAAGACAGATTAAATAAATTAAATTAAATTAATTTGCTGATGCATTAATGGAGCATCATTATATGATTATATGGTATGTAGTGATGTAGTGATGAGGAGGAACGTGAGCATTTCTACAAGTATCGGATTAATTATGATTGAAGTAGTAAACTTTACGTTACTGTCTGATAGTACAGTACAGTATTGTAGATACCAATTTCGCGATTTTGATGTATATGGTGTACTGTATAGTACAATAAAGTAGTACGTTAACACTTCTAGTAGCCTACAGTATAAGCGATAAGCGTCAGATTTAATCGTTATCCGAGAGCGCCCATCAGTCTTACTTAAAAATGATTGAATACTTAACTGAAGTCATTCAATAACTAACTTGATGATAAAGAGGATTAAGGCTCAGGTTATTAATGTAAAAGTTATTATACCCTCTGATGAACTGAAATTTAAAATTCTAAACAACAGCAGTATCGTATCATCTGTCAGCGATGGAAAGTTTGTTAACCAACATTGTCCTGGATATTTATAGTGAAAGCTCAAGTTAAAACAAACTTGAAGTAATTACAGATCAATACGGTATACAGTACTACCATACTCTTATACAAAGTATAGCATCGATCATGCGAGTACATACAGATCGATCGAAAATACAGTTTAGTAATGTCGAAGTATTGCAATGGTTAGTATTCATTATACTATACAGTATTATTGGCTTGAAGATATGAAAAGTCTGTGACTGACGACTACGGTACTCTAGATTGACCACAACGATTGTTCACTATGTAATTTGAAATTTTTTTTAATTTGTCGCTCAAGCCCACTAAAGGGTATAAATGAAAACTAGTCATAGAGATTACAAATATCCTATAATGTAACTTCAATGATAACAGCGTGTCTAAAAATAAATAGTTTAAAATTAAGGAGAATCAAGGTCGGTGCAAGTCAACTGTACCCTATACAGTACTGTAGAGCAGCATCGCACCTTTCCTCATCGTGACTATGGAATCGTAAGATCAAAATCGACTTTGGTCTGTCCATGAGTGAAAAAATACAGCAACTCTATCATTGAAACTGTCGTACAAAGTAGTTGTGTCAAGTAGTGCTATAATACTTACATTGTTATCATCTTTAAAGCGTAATTCTCTTAAAAGTCGCTGTGTTCGAGGACTAGCCATTAAAAATAGTGCTAAAGTGGCTGCTGCTGCTTAACCAAACTAATAGGTTCGTTGCTGTTAAAAAGGCCTGCAAGAACTAGTCTCAACTCCTTCTGTCTTTCTCTTAATTACAACAGATAGTCTCGTTTGTTGTCGAGTTTGCTTGGTTGTAGATGAGGAAATGCAATAGTAACAATTATGAAACTATGAAATGATTGCAAAATCAATGAAAAATCCGAAAATGGTGAGCGATTTTATTCAATGAATTGATCGTCTGCGACAGATGACTTACGGTTCCCTTCGTTGCAGTAGCTTGTGACATAATCCTTGACTGCTGGTACTGTACAGTACAGTACCATACTGTCAAACCATCCATCTGCATACAGTACAGTATGATACCGTACAGTACAAAGTTCTCGAACTGGCTGACGGCTTGTTCGGGTCACGGACGGCACGGATCGGAGCGTTGCGGCTCAGAACGCTTCAGACTGGGACTGGAAATGAATCGTGTCTGCGAAAAGCAGAATCCACGGTCTACAGTAGTTGTGAGCCACCGTAGGGTACTGTACACTGTAAGCATAGTACTGTAACATCTTTTTTCTTTCTTCCCGTACTACAGTACTGTACAGTACTGTACTGTACAGTTGTAAGCTTTTCTACCGACAGTACCGTACTAAGTACTGTACTCGATGGGAGCGGTACTGTAGATAGCTTCACCCGACAGTAGTACAGTACAGTACAGTACAGTACAGTAGTTAGGCACTTACCGTACAGTACAAAGTTCTTGAACTGGCTGACGGCTGGTATGGATCACGGACGGTACGGGTCACGGACGGCACGGATCAGAACGTTTCAGACTGGGACTTGAAATGAATCGTGTCTGCGAAAAGCAGAATCCACTGTCTACAGTAGTTGCGAGCCACTGTAGGGTACTGTACACTGTAAGCATAGTACTGTACTGTAAAATCTTTTTTCTTTCTTCCCGTACAGTACGTACAGTGTGAACCAGTTCGAATCAGAGTACTTTAAGGTGCCCTAAAATGACGAGAGTCAATCAAAATGTAATAAAAATTATACGAATAGAAAACTGAATAACTTGGCCTTTTAATTGAATTGATTAAAATGAGGTTAATGGAGCCACTTTTACCTAATATTGTATTAATGTACTACAGTGTAGACTGCAGTACAGTACTGTACAGTTGTAAGCTTTTCTACTGTACCAACAGCACCGTACTAAGTACCGTACTCTACAGGAGTCGTACTGTAGATGGCTTCACCCGACAGTACTGTACTGTACAGTACAGTACACTGTACAGTACAGTAGCTCGTAGTTAGGCACTTGAGCCTGGTCTGCTCATGCTCAATGCAACAAACGACCTTAGTCACGGTGATTGAATCCCTTTTGCGGCAGTGTATTGCTTGTACGTCGTTCTTAACTTCCAAGATGGAGTTCCTTATTGGGCTAACTGGAGAAGACTTTGTTCTTGTTGCTAGCGATTCAACGGCTGGACGCAGTGTAGTTGTCATGAATGAAGGTAATAAATCATGGCTATGCAATATCAATAAGTTTTAAGATTTTCCGTCTTTGAATTGACAATGTAAAAGTGGTAATACGAATTAGAATTCGTATAAGCGCTGTCATTTTCTCTGAAAATTCACTGTCAACCATGTCAGTGAACTTTGATGTCAATGATTTTAGTCTATCATATACACTTAAAACATAGCAGTCCTAGTGTAGTCTACGGTATGAACAATTTTAAAATGGAGAAACTGCTTTTTTACTGTATTACTATTGCCTAGTTTTAGTCAACAGCCTGATATCTACAACCTATCCATAGGAGGCGCATGCTTGATACGCAATGATAGTCCGGTCGACTTAATCCACAAAAGTCGCAAGCGCATATTCTGTAAAGAGAGTTTTAACTTTTTTATAGTACATATTTCATGCTGGAAATAAATCAATGTCGTCAATCTACGGTTCTTTTTTTCAAATTGCAATAACCTGAACTTAAATTAGTAGAAATGTATCATGGATACTGTTGAAAAAAAAATGACTACTGAACCAGTGGTCATCAGTTGATCGAATCAAGTAGTAACGAATCCCATCATTTTTGTGACTTACGATCATGAAGAAGTTCTCAATTTCTTGCCTTGTTACTTGTACCGTAAATAGTAGTAATACAAGGATATTGCTTTGAACGGTTTCATGTTACATAGTAGAGAGCAGTACTGTTGCTAGTAAGATGCACGCTATGCTATCAGTTTGAATACTCTCAAGTACAAGAAACGCTATTTCTGTACTTTTACCTTATTCTATACGTAAGCGTTTAGCAGAATTCCAACTACTGAATCCTGTTGCAGCTATAATTATTACCTGCAAACGAACGGCTCCTACGATGCAATGATCATTTTTGTAGCTATTTTAATTCTTGTCAATAAGTCATTAGTTATACCGGAGCTATAAATATTACAAACAGCCAAATCTTATTATTTGATAAAATTAGATTTAAAATTGCACGATAAAAGGCAATGCTAGCAGTGGTGGATTATGTTGAAGCAGATGACATGTCATCATGCCATCATAAAATGTGCTTCTCGTTACCGCTTCCAGTTCGAACAGTTACTATAAGTATCGTATCAGTCAGTAGAATAAATTTAGAATTACTAATACATTGTCAGAGAGAAAATTTGGCGTGCTTATAATGAACAGTTAGAATCATCATACTGTACATACGGATTATATGCAATGGTAGAACAACACATGTTAGTATTATACATAAATTATCAAAATAGGACTAAATTAAAATCCGATGTATAAATTAATTTTGCTATTTATCGCTTATCTAACGATTTGCTACGATACAGTCAGCAACAGAATATTTCATCTTCAACCCTACGTAAATCACTTTACGCGTAAAATGTTCTACTGTCTATACACACACTGTAATTGTAGTATAATGTCAAAGCAGTTGTTCAGAAATCTCCTCTGTGAGTTACAATATCCGATAGTATACTGTACACATTTAGTAAGAATATATCACTGTAATGTCACTAGCTGATTCCTCATCAATTCGAAAATGGAGATTATGATCTAATGATGATAGTTGAGCTATTTTGCCGTACCAGTAATCAGTAAACCGGTAACTTTTTCTAATCACCTTTACATGGCAATCTATGTAGCTTATGACAAGACTTTCAAGCTTGGCGATAAAGTCATGATGGCATGCAGTGGCGATCCCGGTGATTCTGTTCAGTTTGCTGAGTTTGTAGCGAAAAATGTAGAATTATATAGAATAAAAAACGGTTTGTCTTACGAAAATTTCTTGATATAGAGATAAAATTAAGTAGTCATTTGTACTACAGTACTAATTTACCACGTTTATCATTTGCAAATAGACCTTCTAATATTATATTTGAATACATATTTAGGCTACTCAATGACGCCCAATGCTGCAGCAAATTATACGCGCCATCAACTTGCTCAGAGTTTAAGAAGCTCGGTAATTTTTAAATCATTAAATCTTATTTAAAATAGAGTACCAGAAATTGTAATATTGAAACTGGATGGGCTTTCAACAATTGCCATAGAATAGAATTGTTTGCAGTAATTTATTTAGCAAAATTTTCAATAGAAGAGTTGTGCTATCAATTATGATAATTAATGAATGACAATATTCGTAATGATAGACACCCTACACAGTAAATATGTTAATTGGTGGTTATGATGAGTATGATGGCCCGTCGCTATACTATTTGGATTACCTAGCATCGTTACAAAAGGTAATATGGTTTATTTTGCTGAATTAATTTCAATTCGCTGGCAAAAGCTGCTATCAAATTTGCACTATTGTAAAGGAATGATCTAAACATAATTTATTACGAAATCTCTCTTTGTAAAGTTACCTTTCGGTGCTCATGGTTATGGATCTTACTTTACTTTTAGTATTTTGGATAGATATTACAAAAAAGGTATGATAATACCATAACTTTATTATATCTTTATAGTATCTACTCAACAACTAAAATAATGTGTTTAAAATACAGGAATGTCTAAAGCTGAAGCCTTAAAGGTTCTAAGTTTATGTCTTGATGAGGTATTAGTTATACTACGCCTATAAATACGCTAAAATTACACCCTGCTATCTGATACACTAATTTGTCTTATCAATGGTAAACATTTACAGGTGAAAAAAAGATTTATAATAAACTTGCCATCATTTAATATCAAATTTATCGATAAGGACGGAATTCATGAAACAAGCTTACAAGATATACAAGCATCTTAAGTAGTAATTATTGGTATTAGTTAGCGAGGTGTTATCAATGTTATAGAACCTAGAATCAGTTAGCTATTCAGCTGACTTCTACTATTTTATCCTTTTGATCTTATGTATTGTTCGTAAATAATTGTAATAATATCATATTCTCATTGATGTATTATCGTTTGGTACTATTTCAAGTTGTAATTTCTTGCTGGTTTACAGTATTTGATGAGAGAACAAAGTAGTACAGTTTTGTACGCAAGTACTGCATTGTTAAATTACTGTATACTGTACATAAACATAGTGGATCAGAAGTAATGAGAGCTTCCGCTGCGACATGCAACTACCTTATGAGTTTCTGTTCTAATCTAGAAATAATTCGTCAGACGGTGTTTAAATTTAAGTCTGTATTTCACATTGTCACGTTGTTTTTCAGAAATATTAAAAGTATTTAATGATTCTAATATAAAGTTGTCGTTAATATAATTGTAAACATTTAATTCAGAGTTAACATGATATAATAGTTCGTTTTTAGTTAAATGCCAAGCAGAACCTATCAGTTATATTAGACTGATCCGCTGCTAACACTTCTACCCTGCCATCTAGGGAGTGCTTCATCTTTTAAATTGGCTAGCTATTGATATTTTAATTGACCGAAAGTATAGCAGCTAGATTACATAATCATTTGTAAGTTTAAATGACTCGAGCTGAACATCTACTAGACGATCAGTGGCTAAGGTAACATTAAGTCTTACCTGGGTCGTTCATCTTAACTATTAACGAGAAATGTACTGTATACTTTAAAGTCTATCAGTTAATCTATTTAAGATTCTATCACCTTCTACACGTACTATAAATTCATTTCAGCTGATTTCGAATTGATTCTTTCTTTTAACCATTACTATCTTACCCAAAATTTCTCTTAGACAAATGACACTACAGCATATAAGCGATAAGAACAATTAATCAATGATGAAATAGTTTTTTTAATTTTGATCATTTTATCCCTATTTATAAAAATACCACTGGGCCTCAACACTGTTTACTGCGTTTATTAAGCTATACACGACATTGCTAGGCCAAAATACTGGTATAGCTGTCAAATTCTCTTTTTACAATGTACTATAGTCTATTGCGTACTTGATGAGTGGTTACTTTCGATGATACGAATTCGTTAATATCGTATTCGTTGCGTTTACTACCCGAACTAGGACTTACTTGTATAACAGATTCTTACAGATCTATCGTGTATTTTTCTACTTCTTCTAGCTGGTATATTGATCTTCTCAACATTTATTAAATGAGCTATTCTTGGGGCGAATATATCAGTTTTTTGCAATACCCAAAGGTATAACAATGATTTTGTAGTTTGTCATGAATGTGAACCTTTCTGTTCTAATACACGTGTATGTAGTGATATTATAAGCGCCTTAGATACGTAGTCGCCTAAAATTGTAATCGAACCTATAGAGTAGTAACGTTTTATTTGAAACTTTAACTTCACTCAATATCTTACTCCATTTAAGGTATTGTATAAGTATACAGGAGTGTAAGACACGAACAGACTAGGTTTCTACTTATCTAATTTTATAACGACTAATTCTGGCTGTACTGTATTCCATATGCCAGTCACGAAACATTTGGCGTTAGTTTAGTAATAGACTGTGTTTTGATACTACATACCTTAAGCATTGATCTTACTGTGATAAAGCTAAAATTCTAAGGGTAAGGACGAAATGTCAGTAATACAGAAATTATCAGATCTAATTATGCATAAAAAAGAATGTAATCAGTATCATTACAGTGAACGTTAATAAATAATCTTTTTTTAGAGACTCATTAATTACTAAAAACTGCTGATTAGCATCTGTATTTGTAACGTTAATATTAGTAAACAGTTAATAAAATAATAATTTCAAAGTTACGAATTATTAATGATTTCTAGAGCGCAACAATAATAGTCTCGATTAACTCTGGCTGTCACAACAGTTTAGAATATACTAGTATGTTTATTCCGTTGTAGAACCACAGATTTGATTAGATTCGTTTAAGTTAATGAGCATCTTATGTTCAGTATATTTGCTATAAATAACTTTAATGTTGTTCGCTCTTGCTACCTATATTAAGATACTCGTTATACAAATTGCCAAGAAATTCACAATAACAATTATGACGAAATTTTACCCATAACATATACCGTACGTTATTAATAGCGAAGAGGTTTGTAATACGTACTGTTACTAAAAATTTTATCATTTTTTCGACAATGTGATCTATATTCGCCGATATCACAGTGATGTAGGATAGGAAATTGTATACGTTAAGAGGCCAAGCGATGAAGTTGATTACTATATTTTTATGTACTAACTGTATATTCGAGTATAATACCGAAACCAGTGTGACTTATTTACCAACACCATAATACGATGTTTTTTATCATTTCTATAACAATTACAGTGAATATATTTATATTAGTAAGCTCTAAGAAAATTAATTATTGAAAGAGTACTTTTACTTTGAACTTGTGCAAATGAGTGTTAGTTCAATGATTGGATAATCTACAGTATCACTACCTCAGAATGTATTGACGGACGTAGTATTTGCTTAAAAATGATCGTTTATATCAAGAATAGAAGATAGCCATCATTAATCGCTAATACTTGATATCGTAGTAATTAATTATTATCAAATGTTATTTATAGCATTCGATAATGATTAGTGGATGTATTAATGGTTTCATAATTTAGCAGATAGAACTGAAAATTTACTTGGCTTATAGCACCAAGAACAAAGATAACTGCAATTTCTGTATAAAGTATCATTTAAGATAATTAACTCTAAAAGACTAAAATTACATCTCTACGAATTAGAGTGCGAGTATTATTGTTTTTATTTTATTCTATAGTAGACTATAATTTCAAGATAACTTATAAATTATGTTAATGCATACCATACTATACTATTACTTATTAAAAAAGAAACATTATTTCCGTCAGCTACGATATTCGAATGTAGCAATCATTAGGTAAAAGGTGAATAGATTTATTTAAATAGACGATTCAACACTGATTTAAATTTGTTTCAACATTTTTCCAGATAAGATATACTGTCTTTGGTTAAATCACAGATTCCAGATTTATAGAAGATAATAGTGCAGTGATTTGTTTTCTCTAAATACGATGACATAACTATAGCTTCAAAAGTACGATGAGATTGACTGTATCCGTATACACGTATATACTGTGATAAACGTCTAGATAAAATAGAGTACTTGGTGAATGCTGGATCAATTTCTAGATAATACTTGACACAGTACATTACGTGACTTCCGAGGAAATAGATCAATTAATTATTAAAGTAATTAGGAAATTAAACTTTCTCTTGTATTATGTTATAATCGAAAATAGGAAAATAGACTAAGATAAGACAATTATTTCACATTTAAGTATTACAACAGTATTCAAAAAAATACGCAGATATAAGATCGATCTCTACTGCTACTGTACTCTGGATAAATTATCGATAAAATCAATCAATTAAACCGAAAGCTATTGTACAAGCTGAATCTCAAAAAATTCATTATCATTAGGGGTAATAATATTATATCATTCTTGGGGAAAACTAATTAATAGCATCGACATGACGACATATGGAGTTTCACTTATGTATGTATATCCATGGTATTTATTTATATATATATTAATTTTTCTCAATTCCTATCTATAGACTAGCTTCTGAGCTCTTACTATTCGATTAGTAATCAAGCTTATTAGCTATATAATATAAATATATACTCGTATCTCTATGTATAACGTATATGTATGCCATACGAGTATATATCATGTAAACAGTATATTTCTGCTAGTACGAGGAATTTCTAATTTATCCCATACATGATTGTATGAAACCCATATTATAGTACTACCCGTACTGTACTGAGTGTTCTATAGTCTGGTATGCCTGATTGGGAAGACTGTCTGATCGAGGATCGTTCTGGTATAGAATTATACTGTACACTGTACAGTAATAACGAATCTCTATTTCTACAAATGAGTGTACATGCTGTCCATCTCTTTCTTTTCTTTTCATGAGTCACAGGAATCACTCACAAAAAAAAGATAATAATAAAAAAGAATAATAGGGAATAAGAATAATAAATAAATAAATTGGATGAGGAATCGCAGACGACGGTAATTTATACTCTCATCTTGTTTTTGGAGTAGTCCCCGACCTCGTTCAGTCCGGCACATACAGATCTCTAATATTTACGATAGAATTGGACGTGTTTTAAAGAATTGTCTGAAACTTGTCTAAACTATCTTACACTTAATAATAATATTTCTTCAAATTTGAATTTTTAAAATTTACAGTCTACCCAAAGCTCGTTTGATTAAAAATCGTTAAATTGTGTTTACCCTTTGTTTTTATATTGTACAGTACAGTACCGTACTGTACACTGTAAGTGCAATTTGGTTTAGTCAGGTTTTGTACTGTACAGTACAGTACTGTACCGTACGGCCTAAAATACTGTACAGTACAAGATACTGTAGTACTGTACTGTACAGTACGGTATGTCGCATCTTTTTCCTCCTCATGATGCTAGTGATACAGTATACTGTAGCTTATTGGTAGGACAGCCTTTGAATGAAGCACAGTAGTAGACTGCAGTAACTGGATGCAGCAAATTTGTGTTCTAAACAACAATTTGTTGGTAGTATTGTTCTTTTCAGGACGTACTTTAAGCTGCTTTTATCTAGATAAGAGATTTGGGCAAAACATTTTCTAACAAATGTGCCTGCAAGCGTTTTGCAATCATTGTTTAATTGTACATACGTGTATTGAACATTAAACAAAGAAATGGACATTGTATTGAAACCAAGTTGAATGTTAATTAGTTTGATGTGTGAAGACAATCACCCTTCGCCAAAGCTAAACAAAAGAGCCTGTCTTCTTTCGCGCCAAAATCGACCGCCACATCTGGTGTCTACTGTGCTGTACTGTACACCGTGCAAACGATACATAATGTCGCATACTGCTCGTTTATCAATACAGTATCGTATGATCATTTACAGTACGTAGCAGATACTTTTTGACTTTAACAGTACAGTACTGTACAATTCAGGACAATTCTTTAAGCAGGTTATCGAAGATTCCCTGCAGCTGCATAAATTATGTCGGTTTTCATACTAGGACGACTAAAAAAAGGAGAAAAAGAGATCAATGAAAGTAAAAAGTATTCAGTATGATACAGTGTATGTTGTCCCTGTGTAAGTTGAACAGCTCAAAACAACAAAATGGCAAGAGCGATGGAAACTTTGAAAATTTTCCATCATGACTTGAAAAAGAAAAGGGATTAACGTATTTTCGGTTATGATTACTTTGACTCTCATCCATTTTGATCGATAGTGATGAGAAGGAGTTAGCTTCGTAAGTGAGCCAAATAAATACCCAACTTACAGATGGAACTGTTATCCATCAAAAATCTTTTCCACATTCGTCACGTTACTTTCGTTACCTTCAGCGTAAACAGTATTATCTTCTCCTTTTACAATGTGTTGAAAGGAAACGCGAAATTACTTGTACTATCGTCATGACATAACTTGAGAAGACTCAAATTTCACGAACATGAAAATAAGTTGGAAGGCATCCACAAATAGTAAAATCTACAGTACTGTACATAACTCAGAAGCCTCCAACTGGGTGTCTTGTCGTTTTAGCATAACCAATCTTCCATGATCCACTTTACAGTGCTGCTGTACTATAGCAATGGAGATGACGCGTACGATACGATAGTGTAATTAATTAATAATAGACTACAATTCTTGTATCCTCATTTAACGTACCTACCTGTAAGTTTTATTGTCTATATTGTTGCGGTGTTTGTTAAGCAGACTAAAATCACAAATTTGCAGGTGGCCAAAGTACAGACAGTGTCAGACATCGATACTTCGATTGTCAATTTGCTACCGTTAAAAATTTTAATCGATCCATTACCATCCATGGCATTATTGAATTTTTAGATTAATGATCGACTCGGCAATGAGTAAACTATGCAATGTTACAACTTTGTAATAAGGTTCTGATTCCCTCCGTATTGTGCTGCTTGAGCGTTTGTCGGTACTGTTCCTTTTTTCAATTGATTGATTTTAGATTATTTGTCAAGACGTTTGATCAAAAGAGACGTAAATTAATAAAATTACTTTTAAATCTTGTTGGATTGTTCACGCGTAGAATAGTACATTTTATTACAGTTACTACATGATGATGTCTACGAACTAACGATACTACGCAGCTTCAGCGAGTTAAAACCATTTATATTATAATAATCATCAAGATCAACAAAGTTGGTAGTAGGGTTGATATCAGGCTTATTGTATATGGTAGTTAACTATAGTGTAGTAGTTACTGTAGAGTACATTGAAAAATAAGTTATCGTGAGCGTACAGTTTTATTACAGGCTGGAAAATTTCGTTTTCGTACTGATACTGAAGATAGCACAAAAAGCAATACAATAAGCAGGCCGTGAAAATAAATAGCGTAATTTTCCTTCTTTATTTGCTAAAGAAATGAAAAAATTACATAAAATTGTGTAGTTGATACCCTAAAACAGGTCTGTTTCAATAATATTACTGTAACAATCTCATAGCAAACAGTTACGTGTCGGCTTTACAAATTGTACATTGCCTTCCATTAGTAACTGCAGCTAAACTATGTAGTGCGATCAACTCAATTTCGAAATTTGTCAAGGTATTTTACATTAAAAGAGCACTAAGCATACATACAGTACTGTAGTGGCAATTTTTCAAATTGATACTTTGCATAAAATCTTTTTATCTCAGCTACCAACATCGTCAACGATATATCAGTGAACCAGAGTACATGACGATCAGTCTAATTTCTTTTGCTCTTTAAAATGTCGATTTTGGCCAAGAGAGCTTTCCTTCTTTCTCTTTCCGTTTCTTTCATCGAGATTAGCTTACTCTCCTCCTCTTTCAAGAACTTGATGTACTCTGTTGACTTCTTTAAAATGTTAACTTTCGGTGCACGTTCGTTATCTTCCAAGTCCGGTATTTGATCACGGAGCGTCTGGAAACTATACCTCAGATCATTGCGTCTCTTCCTCTCTAAAACATTATGAGTTGCACGTTTAACATCATTATCAATATCCGGCTTTACGGATAACCCTCCCTTCGGGCTACAAGCTTCTTTGCCTTTGGTACTTATTTGCGGAGATTTCGCACGTTTCGTAGGGCTTTGTAAATCTTCGGTCACTTTGTGCTGCTGAGGTAATTCAATGGAACTTAGCTTTCGTTTATTCGGTTTTTCTACTGTTACTACATCAATTTCCTCTTCTAAAAAAAAAACAGCGTAAACTCGTCAGACAATCAAAATAGTATAAAAAACAAGGCTAACTATACTACAAAATTTTTGAGTTACATACTATTATTTCAAAGCAATACCTGAATCGGACTGAGCTTCTACAAATTGTTGTTGTCCTTGATCGCTAAGAGTGTAAGGAAATACAGCGATGGGATCGACACAGTCACTAGTCGAAATAAACTCTTCTGCTCGCGGTGGCGTTGCACAAGGCGTATCAAAAGCACTAACGTTCGTGTTAACCAAATTCTTCTTGTCGGTTTCACAAATGCCAGCATTCCACATGCAATCCTGGATTAAGCTGGATCGAAGTTTCGAACCACCATTGAAAATACTATTGGTATCCCCTACCATGTCAATCAAGGCATTGTCGAAATCTAAATTTTCGGTTACTTGCAACAATTTGTCAGCGAGATAATTTGATGAAGTATCAGTTATGTATTGCTGGCGAGCCGGTGACAATGGTGGAGTTGGCATGATGTCAAGACAACTCCATATGTTATCATCTTCACTATCTTCACCCATGTAGTAAGAGCCGTAAGGCTCAAAATCTAACTTATTTGAAAAGGCTTCCGCATGAACTGCCATCTTGATAGATCTATATACATAAAAATTAAAATAGAAGTTAACACTTTTTCGGAAGATTGCCAGAAAGTGAAAATTTCTAATAGACAATTGCAACAAGTGTATAATACATCTAAAAAAGTATAACCATACGGGATAATCTCTTAACACCTACAATCGGCTGTACACTCAAAGTATTTATAGGATTACTATTTGTTTGCCAGCATCAGCTCAACATACTTCATGTGCGTGTTTTAAAATAGGCAATATTTTGCTATTTACTAAATTTGAGCGGGCATTAAAATTTCCTGTCCAAATTTTCCAAGTTAAAACATTCCTTTTAGCCTAGTAGAGGCGACATCTTTATCGTTCTCTAATGACCTTTGGACTATACGGCGTCGTACTAATTGCTAATTATATCATTTAGGCGTATATCATAGTATAATACTGTTTGTATTGCAAGGATGTTAGTATTAACAAATCCACCTACCGTACTTTAATTTCACTTATACTACATATTCCAATTACTTTCTGTGCGTAAAAATGTTAAAATCTTCTCTAACATAGTGCAACAAATTGTAGCCATAGCAGATTACAGTTCTAGTAAAGTGATATGTACCTTCTGGAGAAGGATTAATAGCCAGGACTGCAAACTGTGCAGAGGAAGAAAAGCGTCTTTAAAAAGGATCGCGACTGTCACAAATGTAACAAACGCCGGCAGACGTTCTATCTTGCTACCGACTGGAGGTACGGGAAAAGGAGCGAAAGAATGTGTAATCATCGTACTTATGGATTACGAATAGCCAATCACGTAATAGAATATTTGTATAACTATGGCAACCAGGCTCACGCAGAGTCATTGACAGTATTCATTCCATTTACCACGTCAATCAATATACTGGCTATTGTGTGTTTAAAAAATAGGGCGGTTCAAACTTATCATGCAGAACTTGGGTTATGCAAACATCACAGATTATTTGAACACTACCTCCAACCACATTCCAATCTCAGTTTGATAGAATAGACTTTCTAAAGTTTACAAGTCTAATTTTCCTATTAATTTGCGGTCTATAATAACAGGCCATACCTCAATCAAATAATTTCGTGATTGACAGACGCGTTTTAAATTGGTGGCATTATGCAGTTAGTGGGTTGATAAGTATGATACATCATTGTACCGTAGAATTATGACTCTTAACCTGTATTTTTACACCTTACAGTACACCCCTATTTGCTGTTTAGCTAGCTAAAATTCAGACACTAAGTACAGTATTCATCTTTAAGCTAAGGTAAGTGTTCAAAGTTTAGTAGAGCCAGAACTGTAGGCATACTGTACTTTTGCCGATCCCACGTATGCATTTTCCTAAACCCCATCGTCAGTACGTAAACAATATCTTATTACAATCTTGCGCTCATATGCTGCAGCAGTGTTGGATTGTAGCAATAAACTTCATGCGACCAACATACAACATACTATAGATCAGAATTTGTAGCAAAGTCAAATGCAGGTCTCAGTAAAGGGCTAATGTATTATAGTACAAATAAAAAACTTAGAAGACCAGCATCTTGTGCAAAACTGATATAGTCATGTAGTCAAAAAGTTCTATTGCATTTCAGCTTGTATCATATACTAGCTCAAAAACGATAAGTATCATTTGGTTTGGGTAGTGAAATACTGTATTTTCAATGAATTAAATTTATTTATACCATGCTCTGAGTCAAGTTATACAAGAAACTTAATTTATTTGCATAGCATCGAGCTGAATGTTCGTATTCGTATCTGGTTCCATCCATAATTATTGTTAAGTGCAGCATACTACGTATTTAGGATAGCAGAATAGTAATCCAATGTACGATACAGTACGGTACAGTATGGGAGTAGACGCAGACAGTCAACCGTAATTAGATTAATCTTTTGCAGTCTAGTGATAAGGCGGGGAGTCGCAAGGTCGGCAGAAAACACAGATTAAAATATTCATTGCAATTAATTCTATATTATTTGTGATAACCGAGAAAATTACTGTTTGCCCACTCCTATGTTATTATAAGAACCTGCTCACATCGACTAAAAAGCTGCAGAAATGCTCTTTCAACAGACAACGGTAATATTACGAATTCATTCTTGACAATGCGCATGCGTAGACAGTGCAACGCTGCAAAGTGCCATACTGCAACTGCTGTAACCGTGCGCCATATGGAGTCGTAATGACTCAGATGTTACTGTATGTAGTACAGTACTAGCGTACAGCGTATTAATGATACGCAATCTGGGGAAGAATTTTTTAAATTTTTGCCTAACCCCTATAATGATGAGTGTAATCTCCACTACTACTGCTTTAAAATAGACCACTGCTTCTTTGCACTAGACGCTAAATTTATAAATTAGTCACGACTTCTTGCAGTCCATGACAGATATCCTTTTCTTGATGACTGCACGCAGAACTACAGAAGCTGAGTCTGGCCCCAACAGAGAAATCAGATGGGTGATGGCTGATGCCATCTACCACAGTCCTCTACTGTAAAGCTCAAAATTGCTGTTTTTGGACATTTCGTAGCATAGAAGCACCGAAACTTCTTTCTGATAACTTTAGGGAGTATACTTTATATATGCAACGCACGTAAAAGTACTAATTGAATGATAAAACCCTATATTTCCAGTAATGCATTATGCACAATAATTATTGACATTTCATTGTGTAAAACTTTTTATGTAAGTTGAAATAATGTTCATATGGACCCACCCCACCTACCATCCAGTTAATTAAAAGGTTAACTAGCACAAATGCTTATATTCAATGATGCTAAAATGGGAGGTTGACAACTAATAAATTACTAACAAATAATATAATTATCATATTTTTACTTTAAAGCAATAACTAAGCATTACTCATAGATTATACCTTGATAAGCAACAATATATGTATAAATTATAATTATTATTTTATTATTAAAAAAAGTGTGTGACATTACGATGAGTGGATGGTAGGATTGAGTCAGCAGGACTTACTGGCTTAGTTTTTTTTACTACAACACTAAATACTCAACAGTTATGTACCATAAATCAACTGACGGGCTTGGTTATCATTTTTCAGAGGGTAGTTACCAGTTTTGTGCATCCAGTAACAAAAAAATAAAATAAAAAAGTAATTGTAATTAATTACTATCATTTAATCTATACCGTCCGGTTCAGTAACGGTCACCGTAGTCGTAAAACTTGAGCACTGTACCACACCCCTCTACGTCGATTTTTGGTTGATGCAAATTATGCGATTAACATAATTGATAATTACGACTAATTAATTTGTATTGTATTTAGTAGTGATCATGCGAGACTCGCCTGCAGTGTCATTATACAGTTTAACCGTCAGTAGTGTGAAATTGCAACTTCGCAAGGCATATTATGCACGTAATATACAGCAGAGCTTTAAAATAGCCGATTTAGAAAAAAACTTTCCATCAGCTAACCTACTATATAGAATAAATGGCATCGTGCCATGGATTCTATTTTATGCCAGCTATTTCACATTTTTACAGCACATGACAGTTGCAAATCGAAATGAATTTATCGTACGACGCGTTACTCACTTTAAACTATGACCCCTGATTTCGTAACATAAATAATGCTTTATATCATACGATGAAAATAGAATAAGTGCTATACTTTATAAGCCAGAAATCGATTTTAATTTAATAATTACGATAAATAAACATGAATAGCAAACACAGTACAGTATATGCCGCATTCTGGAAGTATTTGCTTCTGTATAGGTAGTAGAGTACAATAAATTAGAGCTTCAACGGATCGAAGTAGTAGAGTACAGAATTATACAGTTAATTAATTTAGGTTTTTGACGTACGCTAAACCGTAAAGTGATGCGATGCATTTGTGAGCCAAACCAGACTACTGCACTAGACTAGAAACGTAATTTGTAGGTACTGTATTATTAATAAAGTAATCCCCTACGTACATTGACGTAGATTAATTAACCGTGTATCTCATAAAATTTTTTATCACAGGGAAAAAGAGGGGTAGCACATTCTATGCGATTATGATAATATCATGTACGGTACGTATAGTATAAATCGTTTAAAAATATCGGTTAAATGACAATGTATATAATAATCCGTAATACGTTGCAGTAAATTAAACGATACTAACCGATTTGAAGGCGATTTCAGCATTGAAAGGTTCGTTGCTCAGGATTTTATTCCAATGGAAAGACGTAAAATAATGCGCTGCTTTTATAGCTGCAGCTGCTAATTTTAATTCTCACAGTATTAAAGTGCGAGATTGTTGGATATATTAATTAGTATTGCCTAGTAAAAGCACTTCCGGTTTACCACATTGAAGTGTATATTACTGTACTGTACTTCACAAGATTGTCATGACCCTAAAATTAGATGTATCCTTATATAAATGTATACTGTAAAATGTGATGGCAATCAACTGTTCGATACTGTAACTAGCTCTTGGTTTAAACCTAATAAAACTATAAAACCGTACCTCAGTTCTAAATTTAAGGAAGACGTACGAATCGATTCAAGATACATCTATCACTTTCTTGACATAACTCATAGTAAAATTTAAATTTTCGATTTAATTTAAGGAGGAATACAATTAGTGAAGGTAATAGACAACTAATGATTATTCAATATATGTCAAACAGAGGATAAATTGTTTCAAGGTTTGAAATTTTAAACAGTTCATAGTTTAGTACGTTTCGGTAAATGCCGAACTTGTACAGAAAATTGATAACCCAGCGCCCATTCGTAGTCAAGGAATTCACTAACCATAAACAAGCTATAAATGAGTTACACCTACAAAGTGTTACAGAAAAAAATGTATTTTACTCATCCTTTACTAACACTTACTAGAACATTATCAGCTGTTGTAACAGAAGTATGTACAGTATTTTGACAATCTACTGAATTGAGCACCGCGTGATCGCTCCGTGAACTGTTTAATACTCCGTATCAAATATGGTATAGTACGGTATATTCAAAAATTTTATTCCTTATAAGTT